AAGCTTCAGTATCTTGCTAGTCGGCCCCACTGGCTCTCAAAACACCTGAACAATGCCTGCATCCAATCAGATTGTTCAGATAGTTTGAGAGCCAGCGGGGGTGACTAGCAAAATACTGAAGCTTGGCCCAGCGGGAGATTCCTCCATGCACACAGATTAGCGTAGAGGGGGAGTCTGTTGAACTTTTTCCATCTGACCATAGAAAATCTGCAGATAATCTATAGGGTGTATGGCCGGCTCTAGGCTTTTAGTTTAGTTAGCTTTGCTCGTTAAAATTGGCGTTTAAACAATTGAAGTTTAACCAGGGCGGTGGTAACTTATTCCAGTGCGGTGGTATAAATTAAATTTAGTTTAACAAACAAGTTATTGAACGTGCCATTTGCTAGCTGTGTTTTACTGCACTTGGAGCGGAAGCGCAAGGGAGACGGACGGATGCTGACACAGTCGAGCACAGTCAAATGAATTTATCCACAAAGTTTATCAAATTGTTTAGGCTAGGCCCCAAGAATATATCTATAGTGTGTTGATTGTAAACAGCTAGTCTTCAAGTTGTTATCTGAGGGGATTTATTCAGTAATTGATTATTACTAATTATTTATTTCAACACTCCCAAATTGTTAATATCGGTCGAGCATCGGGCAAGACCAAGGACGGAGGGCAGAACGAATCGGAAGGACGGACGGAGCCAGCATCAGACGGTTTCCTGACAGTATTAGACGAAGGAAGGACGAATAGACGGAAGGACGGGCGTAAGAATCAAGCAGAAGATCGTGCAGGAGGACCGGATCATAAAAGCAGGAACATAGAGCTGCCAGAACAGGTCGTATGAAAGAAAGGAGGGGGACCAGTAAATTTGTAGAAGTGTAATTGCAGTAGTGTTTTCAGAGATTCTAAAGGGGAGTTAGACTCAGTAATAGTAGTGGGGGGAGAGTGCCTTAAAGCTAATACAAAAGTAAATTTAAATTATCCCTAGAGCCGTAGTGAAAATAAAAAATAAAAAAATTAAATTACAAATAAATTAAATAAATAAAAAATCCCCAGGCTAAAGTACTAACTTTACATCAAAATTGTAACAATTTAAATTTATCCCGTAGAACTGGTATAATCAGTGGACCCAAATAAACAAACAAATAAATATATAAAACACAGAGTTCATCACAAAATATAGCCAAGTGGTTGACGGAACCCGGGATACAACAAAGACTTAGTCTACTTAATGCAAATAAAGCGTTGGGACCAGATAATCTGCACCCCAAGATACTTAAGGAACTAAGCCAGGTTATAACTAGACCATTATTCCTCATTTTTAAAGGACTCTCTAATGACTGGTAGAGTTCCGAGTGACTGGCAGAGGGCTACGGTAGTTCCAATATTTAAAAAGGGAGCAAGATGCCAACCTGGGAATTACCGACCAGTTAGTCTTACATCGGTAGTTTGTAAACTGTTAGAGGGAATGATTAAGGACCACATAGTAGAATTCGTGCGGGAAAATGATAAAATAAATGACAACCAGCATGGGTTTAGGAAGGACCGTTCCTGTCAGACTAACCTACTGACTTTTTACGAGGAGGTAAGTAGAGATCTAGAGGGAGGGAGGTCTGCGGATGCGGTATATCTGGATTTTGCTAAGGCTTTTGATACGGTACCTCAAACGCTTACTATACAAGCTGAGAGCAGTCATTTTGGTGTCACCCCCCTCTGAAAAGTCGGGCGCTTGGTCATGGACCGAACGCACGATAATATCAGGAGAGAGGAGGGGACCCGGCGGCATACCTTATCCCGCCGGGTGACTGTGCCCTTCTCTCTCTGCTGGCGTCCATCACCAAGATGGCCGCCAGCAGGTATCAGAATACTGCCGCGCGTGCGCGATGACGTCATCGCGCACGCGCAGTGACGTCTTGGCGGGGTGACACTCGGTTACCGCTCCGGGTGTCACCCAGCCTCGGGACGCCCCTGTAGTTACGGTCCTAACTCTAATCTATGAGAGCCTCCATCTTGGAGTATATACACTGTATAGAGGTGCAGGTTTAGGTCCTGGCAGCCCATTCCTCCTTAAAGGCACAGGTTATTAACAAGATAGGGTCTGAAGGTTTCTTCTTAAGTTGAATTTGTATGTAAGTTGGAACAGGTAACTCCAGCCCCCCAAAAAATAGATTTTAGTTTTGGATAGCACAGGAAGGGTGTATCACCGGTAAAGTTTGTTTTGCTGTGTGTGCCCGTTCAGAAGATTTCACCTCACTTTACTGTCCCTATGATAATTGGATTTTTAAAATTTTGGGTTGTCGTGGAAACAAGGATTGGTGATAAAGCTTCAGTGGAGACACCTTTTTCCAATGATAACTCTTGCAGGAGTGAATTTACCTTCCTAGGGGGTCGATTTCCTCTCACTTCCTGTTGTCTCAAGGACAGGAAGTGAGATTAAATCTTTCTAATGAGGATACAGACAGCAGTAAAAACCTCACAGTGACCCTAAAGAAGAGGCGGGCACCCCTTGTCTGCACGTCTAACAAGAGCCAACTTCCTGTAATGTATGTACAGTACTACGAACCAGACCCAAAAAGGCGAGCATCCCTCATTGGTATGAGTGCGGTAGCATTTCAACTCCACTGCTGTACAATAATAGCCTCTGAGCCACCGTTTGTAAGTAGGAGTTGTGTGTAAGTCGGATGTATGTAACTCGGGGACTACCTGTGATGCATTATTCGAAAAAATAAAAAGATAACCTCTAAAGGTGCCCATACACCTTACGATTGTCGTATGCGATCAACTTTTCGTACGACAATCGTAACGTGTGAATAGAGTGCCCGACCGACATTACTGTACAATCGTACGACTTTTGACGGTCAAGCATGTTTGAAAACTTTGGTCGATCGTACGATGTTCGCATGCTTGGTAGCGTTTCCGTCCGTCAAAAGTCGTACGATTAACACTGCGCATACGAAAATAATTGCGGTCAATTACCGCAAGTCATCCAGGTGTTTTTTTTTTAACTACCGCTGATTGAACCTTTCGATAATCGGGGCAGGATGGGGGCCGTCGTACGACTGTTCGATCATCAGACGATAAGTTTGGTCCGAAAATCGTACGACGGTTCGATCTTCGGACGAAAAGTTTTGTCCGATAATTGTAAGGTGTATGGCCACCTTTACACTCTAGAAATCCTTTCCTGTTATGTATTAAATGTTTATCTAGACGACCAAAGAAAACCAAATGTAGTTTCCTGTTGCATTCTGAACACGGGGGAGTTTAATTGATTAGCCCAGTGCATTTCACAGAAGTCTGCATAGGATTGGAAGTGAGATTAGAGGCATCCTCTGCAATCTTTTAAGTCTTCTGAGACTTCAAGGTTATTGCGCTTTCACTTTTTTCAGCCCTGGTGGTGAAAATGAAGGCATACCCTCATATATAACCGTTTAATTTATTATGTACAGAGATGCATAAAACAGAGTACATGTACAGAGAGTTCTGTACCTCCTGTGTTACCACTGTTACACATTATTGGTAAAATCATGAGAACACAGACCACAGTTCTTCTCTAACCATAAACATAATCTTTTATTATATTTGTCTCTCCCTTACAACTATAACATTTTTATACTACAATGCTGCACCTCATGGTTATGCAGGAAAACTTCCAGTAGTTGAAAGGCCACACTTCAGCTTTCTCATGTACTGTAAGTCACTCTGTTCTTTTTTGTGTTTGCTCTTCTCATGTAATAAAGTTTGGCAAAACGCTATGAAGGGAATTTAAAAATCTGGAACAGATGTGCACGGCAACCAATCAGCTTCTCTCTTTCATTTACAAATCTTAACTGAACAGACTGAAGAGAGAAGCTGATTGGTTGCCGTGGACATCTGCTCCAGATTTAGTTTACTCCGTTTTTGATAAATTCCAGGTTTTATTTTGATTTTTTTGTGCGCTGGCTTCCTCCTGTGCTGCTTACATGACCAGAAGCAAAGCAATTGGTTATATGATTTTGTTGAAGGGCAGGACCAGGTGTCGCACTGGCTGGTGCTTCTATTTAGTAGTGCATGTGACCAAAGACCCGGGCTATTTGTCATGTAAGTAGCACTGGAAAGCCAACTATGCCCCCTTTCTGTTAGCGCCTGTGCAAGACGGGAACACATGCGTAATCGCATTGCACAATTTAGCAGG